GGGGGGGGGGGAGGGGAGGGGTCGGGGGCGAGTTCGCATACCTGTGCGAGAAGGGACGGCAGGAGACTGACGAAGGTCGAGTGTCCACGCAAAACGGGTCGCCACAGGCTGTGGATCCACTCGCTCGAATTTTGGCGAGACGTCGTGGACGAGAAACTCTCTCGTGACGTGCCAAGATCCCTTTCTCGAATGTTTCCTTTCCTGCTCGGAGGCTGACGGCCAAATTTTTACCAACCTTCCTCGCATTCGCGTAAACGATCCTCTCGGGTCGTTGGCCCGTAAACGTCTAATAGATAGCCGGAGTAACGGTTGCTGTAAAAGACGATATCGCTTCTCGAACGCGACTCTCGAAGAATGCGATACGCCCTGAAGAGGAGGTTGGTAAAATCGCGCGGTGTGAATATTTTTGCGCCCGCAGGTAGACATTTTGCTCGGAGAGGAACAACTTGCGGCATTCGTTCGTTCCCTTGCACGTTCGCTCGCTCGCTCGTTCGCTCGTTCGTTCCTTCTTTCCTTGCCATCGTCGACGGAGATTCTCGTATTTGCACGCTGCTTCGTCATTATGGGTGGGATCAAAAGCTTTTCTCGACGATGCTTTCTCGCGAATAAACAGTTCGTTCGATATCTCTCCGCTGCTCTCCGTCGTTCGTGTGTCAAGGTTGAATACCACGAAATGGATTCGTCCCAGATACTACGACCAGTTCGTTGAATAGGTAACGAGGGATTATCAGCGAGTCGTTGTGATATTACGGTCGTTATTCTCTACCATTCTTTTAGGCGACGTCTAAATATATCGTACGCTTTGAGAGTTCAGGGTTACACGCTTTTCGCTTTCTGTGTATCGTATCGCACCCTTGTCATCGAATCAATTGAAGTCCGAACGAGACCACGAGTTCGTGTATTTTTTATTCTACGATTGCACGAAATGTTAATGAGTTGAGTATCCATGGTATCATGGACTCTACACACAGTATCGATTAGTTTTTGTCACCTCAAGAACCCTCAATTGTGCCATAATTGTTGTGTCAGAGACGACGGTTTCGTCCCGTGCCGCGCGTGTTCGTTTAGGTAAAAACAAATTGCTAGGTAACCGGCTCGCGGTTATACATAATACGACTTTATTCGATTCACCGGAAGCCACATATCGGCATGATCGTTTTCTTAATTGCATTGTACGCTCATCCGTATGCTCGGATAGATTATTTGATTTTTATATCGCTTCGTGTGACGCAATATCGGTGTAATCTCGCAACCCGTGTGTCGACCGATCATTGATTTTCCTCTTCGCACTTGGAGCGCAAACTGCCGCGGTTATCCGCACTGTGGTTATTGCTGCTGATAGGAATGACGTGCGCGAGCAGTCGATGCAGCAGTTGCTCCTGGAAATTGCACTCTAACACGCCGCAGTTTGGCCGTTTGTTCCGGAACAAGCCGATTAATACTTTAGTAGTAACACTTTCTACGCAAAAGAAAATGGTTCTCCTAATGAGTATAATTATTTCACCATAACACAGTCATAAGTATCAAACACTTATTTCTCTAATGCAAGGTGTTAGATTTACAGAGACACTTTTCGAGTACACATTCATTTATCAATTTAGAATGACTTGGTAGGAGAGGTAGATCTCGGAGATCCTGTCCATTAGAGTTATTTATTGAAGAACACGCGAACATTATTTTTCTTGCATTCTTTATTTCATTAGGACGAGAAAAATTTTTTTTAAGTTGATAAACGATATGTTCTATAATAGTAATATAAAAGGAATAGAATAATCTCATCGAATGTTTTCCTTTTTCCATCAGTGTTTTCGCGGAAAGTGTTTATACAGAATTAACGGGGTATAACGATCGGGTCAACAAGTGAAATTGCATTAACACCGGAAAATCGGCGGAAAACCGTCGTAAAATCGGCGTTGACTCCAACCGGATTTGAAATCGGGACATCTGGGACACGTTCATCGGTTGCATGGAAACAGGAGATCTTGCACACGTGGATCTATCTCTGCGCGATTCTTATATTAGCCTTCGCGCTAAGGCTGAATCATCCCGAAATGTGCAACGCACGTTTATATCCCGCATGTGCGACTCATGCAGCGCGCGATGTGCGCGCTGCAGCGTATCCAGATGTGTAAAAAATCATTTGATTGCCTTTTTTACGACGTCGAGCATCTCGAGATGCTGTCGAGATCGAAACTCGAATCAAGGGTCAATTATTGGCGTCGAAAGATCAAGGCGTGACGTTAGATTTTCTAATTTCTCCTTCGCGCATTGCGTCGTGCGCGATCAATGGCACGATTAGCGCGAATAAATCCGCTCATTGATCCGCGCGCAGAGAAGTCCAGCCTCAAAAATAACGACTTCCGTTATGTGTCGGTCAAAACTATTTGGCACAGGCGTGACGTCATATCCGCTATCTGTAAAGACGGCGCGTGAGTTATTTCTGTTCGTGTCGACGCAGCAGTTACTTGTTGAAAGAATTACTTTGTTACGACGACATGTGTCTGAATTATAGCGTAGCAAGGTAACCGTCCCAATTATGAGTTGAGTCCCAATTTTTGGGTCGAACTTGCTTTATTAATACATTAAAAAGATACATATTAAAACACGGAAAAAGTTTTTTTTATATTTCTTAGTTCGTTTTTCATATTCCTTGGTTCTTTTACAATTATAATATTACATTCACAAACATTTTTAATATTTGAAAAAAAATGTAGGATATCAGTTGTTTTACTGACATTCTAGATGGATAAAACTGCATAATAGGTTGTGCTGCGTATACCATTATTCTATTTTCTATTCTATTTTATTCTATTTCACTAAATTAAAAAATGCACTATATGAATATAGATATTATTAATATTAATTAGATATCGTACAACTTGTTATATGGACGCGTAAAATTTACTGACTAATAATTTCGACTTGCGTATAAAAAAATGTTTCTAATTGCTTTTTTATAATTTAGAATAAACTAATTTAAGATCTAATATTTTGTTTTAAAACTATGATGTCAGTTACTCATATTGATATCAACAGTTCGTTTTAATGTTTGATCGGCGAATTTATATAAATAATTGAAAGTTACTCTAGTCTTTCTTAAATGATCCATAATTACTTTCTAAATTTTTTGAAGTGAAATTTCACTCCAAAAATAGAATGACAATCGAGTTACTCGAATTCGAATTTTCACTTCTACAGAGTGGATTTTCCACTATAAATCGTTGAGTGAATTTTCACTCGAAATTGAAGAGTGAATTGATGCATTCTGTTGTCAGGGGAGAACATATTCACTCCAATCGATTGAAACATTCATTTATATGTAGTCAGAATCCACTCTAATCTCAAGTGAGACATTCACTCTTGTGATCTCGATCTCGATTTGTATTATCACTATCTCCTCGAGTGAAAATACTGCCACTTTTCACTTAAAAAAATTTAGAGAGTAAGACCTCGTTTCCTTACAACTCGAGAGACCGAGGCGCCGTACACTTGTTCTTCAAGCGAGAATATTTACGATGTACAAATAAAAAAATATTACGTATGGAAAATAGCTCGAGCGTAAACTTTTATTATTCGTCCGAAACAAGTCGCTATTCGTGCTGACACGATGCCGTCGCCTCTCACAGCGAAAGTATTATTGCTTTGGCCGGTGTTCACGGGCGTTTCATTGCCTCCTCGTCTTCGACTAACGTTCACGTTATTTTCCGTTCGATTAAAGGTTAAACGAGTCGCGTTAAAATCACCCAACGGGTCCGCACTATCGGGGCCGATCGCAGCTGCGACGCAGGATCTCACTGAAGAATCGTGACTCGCGAAACGCTACCGCGCGAAACACCGTCGCGCTTACATGATCTATGGCGAAATCGCTATCGCGTACCAGATATCGTTGCCCACGTGTGCCAGTTTGTCGAGCAGCCTGCAAGGCCCTTATGCAGATATGCGCGCGCGCCCACACCGTAAACGTCCACTATCGCACGTGTCATACGCATATCGGGAGCTACAATCGCGCAGTCGTCGAAATAAAAGGCGAATAACAGACCGCCATAGACGGCGATACGGAAGTTAATATTGGGAGTGCAGAAGTGCCGAAGAATATCGCTTGAAACGATTCCCGTGTGGAGAACACTTGTCACATCTATCTGCGATGTCCCCGCGATTTATGCGTGATCGCTCTGATTATCTCTCGTAGTCGCGCGTGAAAGCGATGATATCGCGGGACAGAGATGAATTTCCGGCGCGAGAGAGCACGCAGAGGTGCACGAGAAGCCAAGCATGTCCGCAATTAATCCTAACAACCGTTAAGCTAATATTGTTATCAGCGAATGCGACTTTTCTCCTCGTCCCGCGTCGAAATTTTCAACAATCGAGCTGGATTAAGCTGCAAACCGGTGAAAAGCGCCGAGAACGTAATAAACCCACTATTCCGGCGTGGCTACGTCTGTTTATTACACGTTGCCAGATTAAACATAGTCATCAGCTCATTTCTTCTGCTCTTATCTGTTTTTCTGTCAAACTCGCCGCGAAATCAACGCAACGTTTCTCCGAGCGATCGGCGAAGATCTCTGTCATGTCTCGTATCCTCCTCTCCGTCAATGATTTCGCTCACCTGCCGCGAAATAAATTCGAGGGAGCTGCTTTGTGCGTTTCTCACGTCACTTCGGGTCAAAACAGACTCTCTCCCAGCCGACGACTCATAGAGATCCGCGGCCATGACCCGCATTACGGAAACTGCGCGTCCGGCTATCACTGACTCATCTTTGAAAGAAAACTCGTTAATTAATCTTCGTTATACTGTCATCCTCCCGCTTAATTTCTCCGCGATAAGTCGAAGAACTCTCCGACACTTTGATCCATCTCTGCGCTGCGTAATGAAGGAAGAAATTCGACACAAATTATTTCTCCCCGCGTATCGTGCGACTTGAAATCAGGTCAGCTTCGCGGATTCTCTAGTTTCCCAGACTTTCTTCCGACGGTATCGCAAAAATCATTCCTCCGAACGTTTTTATCATTGATTCCCAAGCGTTCAGAATGATTCTTCTCGCATTCAAAAGTAATTTAATCATTACCCTTGAAGCACGCATATCTCGTTTCGTATCTCTCCTCGTATAATAATATTCCCGCGGTTACATGTATTTTCCTCACATAGAAGTTCCTAATCACGGGCATTTCCTAAATATCGCATATCATATCTCGGATTTCTCTCTCGCCCGTATCACATCTCAAATTGCTTCATTTGATCTCCACCTTAGTGCTGTCTGCACCGTTCGGTGTGTTGCGTACATCACATATTTCGTATGTTTCTCTCGTACGATTGCTCGGCGAGCGGTTACCCCAATAAGAGTTATCCTAGAACATAATAGATATACATTAACGCGCAATTATTCGCCATAAGAATATACTATTGAAAGATAATGCGGTAGAAGTGGGACACCTCGGTAAAACCTATCTGATACGAGAGCGCCTCGGGCGGGATACATATTGCGAATAATAACCACACAAGACGTGGACGGATCGGCAGCTCTCGTGGATCGTCGGGAGAGCCGGATCGAGGAACCGTCGATTATCGGCACGGTGGCCTCCGGCATGGCGCATGTTCGCCCAGCGATGAGCGACTCATGGCACTCAGAAGTCATCGTTACTATCGGATAATGCGATCGGATTCGACGATGATCGCTAATCGGCATATCGCGGCGGGTTGAGAGGGACGGGAGGGGGGAGGGAAGCAGGGAGGGCAACGCAGCGACGACCCCCCGACAGAAAACACAGCCTGTCGGATACCATCTCGCGGTAGCGAATCCCGTAATCCTGCGCAGCGGCCGCGGCGGCGGATTCCTGAGGATGGTAATTATAGTGCCTAACGAGTAACCGGACAGCGGCCACTTATCGACACCGGGTACCAATGAACGATCGTTTATCAGTCTCTTTCTCTGAGCGAACATCGGATTGTTTCGGAATGAAATGCTCGCGTGGTTGTTAAACGCACAAATGGGTTAAAATAAGGCACATACAGAACATACATACTATGTTCAAGTATTTCATCAGTTTATACATCCACAATCTATGCATCACGAGTTTGTCATAAGCATTGAATTTATTCCATGAATCCTACATTGAGAAGAAAATACTTGACAATTTATTTGTGTGATACGAAGTTTATTTCTGTGAAATATATAAATTTTTGTCCTATAAATAAATTTTCAAGTTTTTTTCTCAGTGTAGTAAATTTAGCATTTCGGTAAAAAATATTAAATTAAAAAGACAATTCGCGCGGTTTGCTTACGACACAGAGTTGACTCAACTTTTCCTCCGATAAAGTATTATAATATTTTTGTAGTGAAAATAAGCTTCCCTCTTTTGGGAAAATAAAGTAAAAGCAATGCCTCTGGACACTCTCTCATAACGCTGGTACCTAACTCTGAACATTCTTATATATATATATATATATATATATATATATATATATATATATATATATATATATATTGTTTTGGCCTTTAAACTTTCAATATAGAGTATACATATGACCCGAACTGTGAAATCGATTTTTAAGAATCGATTTTTCAACAGCATATTTTTTTTTATTGAGGATGCGAGCAATAAGAGGAAATCGAGAAGTTTTCAAGATCGAACTGAGTATTTGCGATATTTGTCCAGACGTGTGGAGACGAGAAACGTCGGCAACCCGCTGCGCCGTCGGCGCTTCGCGACACGATCATCGATCACACAATCGCTGCCCGATCAAATCAATAAATAACACATCACGGATCGCTCGTAATGAGAAGATTCGTTCCTGTTTAACGAGGCCGTTGCCTTCCGACGTGAAGTACACCGATAAAGAGCTTTGATAGGAGTCTCGTGCTCGCGGTGCTGCGTTGTAAATTCGAAGAACGGAAAAATCGTCTGTGCCGTAACTCAGTCCGCGTTCCACGGGGATTTAAACGAATCGTCCTTCTCCGGGGAATGCTCTGATTAAAACGGCAGTTCTTGTCTCTCTCGCGCCTCTCGTGCGATAGATTAGGCGTAAGAACGAGCAGCGTTGTGATGACAGATTGAAGGCCGCTGATTATAAACGCATAATTGCACCGCTAACGGAGGAGCGGTTTTGACCGGCTCGTCACTAGAAAGGTAATGACCGATTCTACAGTTCTAACTGCCCGATCGCTTCCTTCCTCTCGCGCAACCTGCCTTTTCTCTTCTTCATCCTATAAAGTCGAGCGGTCGGCTTAGCCACGGAGCGGAAGTTCGAGGGATATCGAAGCACACGCGAATATTAGTTTGGAATTTAGAGCCATCGGGATATCGCTCTCCATGTACTATCGCCGGTCGACCGTACGTTCGTTGTCGGCGACGGCGGCGCCGACAAAGTTATCGATAGGAGAAATTACGATCGAACGCACGACAGTGGAAACGCGCGTGCGCATTACCGTATCTGACATTCTGATCTTGGTGTCGTCCGTTATTCGCGATAGCATTCGCCGTCGCGTCTTTGATCTAACGCGAAATTTTCAATTGCGATGCAGCGCGCGGGCAATTCCTTTTTCTTCCCCTTCGTTCAGGGACGGCACGCGATTTCACATCGATTAGTTCTCCCCGCCGTCGACGTGCTCTGATAGCGCGCGATCGCGCCGACTTATTGAGCGGTGCGATGAGAGGCGCCGCGAAAAAGTCGGCGAAGCGATCGCAGATGAGAGGCTAGACTCGATCCGATCCGATGAATTTATTTCCTGGCAGGGGGGTCGATCAATTAATTAAATTATGCAAATTTCACGGTAATACTGGAAACGCGAAACAAGTGTATGCGCTCGGCGCGACCGCTCGCTCCGCATAATCAGCTCCATAATGTGGCAACGGAATTGCAGTTAATTAATTTACAACGAGACGTTGTCATAACGACTCCAAGTCACGCTCCTGAAAGTGGCACCAAAGAATCGTTCTGGAGCAATGCAGAGCGGTTTCGAAGAAATCCGTCGATTTACAATTTCCTAATATCCCACCGCGTAAATGAACGAGCTTTTAGAAGACCAGAACCACACCACACGGGTCAAAGTATAAATTGCCATTTCATGAGCAGAGAGTCATCTGGTGTGTGTGTGTGTGTGTGTGTGTGTGTGTGTGTGTGTTGCATATTTGTAACATTAGTGTGGAATATTTTTATTAAAATTTATTCAGAATTCTATTCTTATAAGATTCTGAATCCTTAAAAATTTATCTCTCTCTTCTCTAGAATTAGATTCTTCAATTCTTAATGGATTTCATGAAGAATTTATTAGAAAGGCATTACCTGATTTTACATCTTTAGAAATTATTGATCTGTCCTAAAGAGGAGACATCCATGGAGAGAATTTCATAGTAAAAATTACTGTAGGATTTCGTAACCGAATAGATCGATATTTTGCAGTAATGCACACTATCTTCTCATTTCATATATACTACTTATATTTCAATTCTTGAAATACTATTACACTTGCTATAAATATTTGCTATGTTTCTAGCGAAATGTGCTATGTTTTTAGCGAAATTTGCCATGTTTTTTTAGCAAGATAGACCCTACTGACAGTCCTTCTGTGGACTAAAGACATAGTAAAATCTAAATAAATTTATATGAAAAACACATCTATAATTTGTCTATAACACACCTATAATATATTCTCTCCGTGTGGATTTTGGCTTTCTGATTTAATCAGGTAGATTTACGATGTTTTTTGAAGTATAACATAGAAAGGTCACCTCGCAGTCGGCCAAGATTGCGGTCTGTTCGCGTGCCCGTTTAGCAAGGCGGCTTTTATAACCATTAATTACCGAGGTTGCGCTCGTATTTGTTTCTCTTTCTCTCCCTTGTCCCAGCATTGTTGGCACCATTCATTTGCATCCAGCGAGCCGTTTTCTCTCCGGTTCCCGTAATTGGGCCTCTAAATCCCGGAGTCGTTAGAATTCGCTTAGGGTCGCCGATGTCGGGCTTGAGTAACCGCCACTGAGGACTCGTAACAGGCAGTCTCTCGAAACATCAAGCAGCTTATGTCCACGGTGTCATGCCGCAACGCACATTGTCTCGCAATATAACCGCGCTATAATTTCCCAAAGTTCATTGTTTGCCTCCTTACGATAGCACACGTCTAGCAGAGATATTATGCTTACGCCAAGCCATCGCATATTTGCTCCCGTGAGAGTGCGCCAATGCAGCTCGTTGGTTTTGCAATTAGAGCGCAGCGGGCACGTAACAGCCGGCGAACCAATTTACTAACCGAAAATAAAACTGGTTAATTCGCATAATTAGGAAAAGAAAGAAAGGGAATAAACAGTAGACACAGGTGGAGAACAAAGAAATTCCTCGGCATTTCTCAATAAATTCGACTATGGCAAATGATTTCTCACGTAACTCCATGCAAAGTGTTTCTTTTCTTCTGATGGTTTATTGTAAATAACCAGTACAATCATCAATACAAGGTCAGTGCACAAAACGATTATCTTGCGACTTCGATCCGTGTTCCACGACTACGAATCCATCGACCGCGAATGCAGTCATGGGATAAACAAAAGCAAGACGAGATAGAAAGAGAGAGAGAGAAAGAGAAAGAGAAGGAGGCCTAGGGTGCTCGAACGCGCTCGCAGAAATAGCCGAACGAAGGGAACGCCAATCACGTCTGCAGCAGGTCGGAAGTTCTAATTTTACACGCGAGTTGCTTATTGATTGGAGAATGTGTGTGGATCAGACATAAGAGAATTGCATCACGTATTTTGCACTCATTATGCAGCTATTTCGCGTAATGATGATTAGATTCGCAATTAGGACGTTCAGTGTTCCTTATAGTTGTCGATTTCCGCATATCGCGGCCGCAGAAATAAGATAAACGGAAAGTACGCGAGAGTTGCGCTGGGTATGTTGGAGATTCTAATTTTACTAACGGGTTGAGCCGATTCTCGCGATACCAGACGAGACGGCAGGCGGCTCTAAAAGCGTCTTTCGGAGACGTGCAAGCTCACATTTTTCGAGCGCGCCTCTTGCCTCGAGTCGTTACCGTTGAAAGCACACGGCGCTAGTCGTGGACTCCTCGACCACGACGTCTGGCGAGCGAGCTCGAAGGTAGGCTATGCCTGCACTTTCAACGTTTCGACTACCGAGGCTGCAGATCCCTGCACTCATCGACGAATGCAACGTATTCTGTCGCGGTGCTGCTGCACGGCGATACCGTCATCCGTTAAGAGGTCCGGGTAAAAACGCGACGGGCTGAAAACTTCGTCTTTTTCACGTCAATCGATGTGCAGCGTAGATTAAAAGGATTTCAGAGCGATATTTCATCTTCGTTTCAAACACTAATATTGTTCCCGCGTGTAAAGTTGAGAACGATCGAATTCACGTAGAGTTCACGTGAAATTCTATTTTCGTATACCACAGAGAGAATTCTATAGCAAAAATTATTGTGGAATTTTGTAATCGAGGAATATAGATGGATAATCTGTAGTAATTTACTAACCTTTCATTTCATATGCGTTATTTATATTTTAGGAATACTGAAATGTGCTATTAAAAAAATTGCCATGTTTCTGTGTTTCCTAACAAGGTAGATCTTACTGAGTTTATTTTGCTGCACCGTTAGAAACAATTGACAAAAATTGATATCGAAAGGAACTATAATATTCTTCTAGTAACAATGAATTTATGAAAGTAACAATGAAGAATGATTGCAAGAGCTCTCTTGGGAGTCGAAGGCCGATACGAAGCAGTGACACGTAACAAAAGCACGTTGCCGTGTCCGATCAAACCATGCTATGCATACTAACCTTAGGATGACGAAATTTTCATGCTTCGTTTATGCTCCGCCTCACTTAACATTATCGCAAATTTTTGCGCTTGGTCTGTGTTTAATGCGGAAAAAAACGCGAAATAAAATTCCGTCCATTGAGGAAAAATTACTTTCAAACTTGTCAAAAGTGCGCACTACGAGGGAAAGTACGTAACACTCGCGCGACATCCTGTGCAACGTCGTACTCTCTGCCCAAGAGAGAGGCTTCTCGTCCCGGAACCGTACACGTTTATCTCGACACGATACCTCGCGTACTTAAGAGTCGTTTAATCCGAGATTGAGAGCGGTTTTTATGACCTTAGGCGGCACGTTGTTTATCACTGATAAACGAAATTGCAAGCGGCATCACGCGTTTGATCGCCATTTTTCACAGACCGCTTTCCCACCTTCAGCTCCCTGCTATCGACGCGCGTCGGCCAAACCATTCAATTAAATTTCCCCGTCGGAGCGTAATCGATCGTTGATCGCTGTTTGCTACTGTATGATCACAAACATGCGTTCCTGCTCCTTCCATCGACTCTGTCTTTTTTCGTCACATTCCAATGGCTTCGTCGCGGCATCTTGGACAACTTTCGAACGACGAGTGAATAAATTAATTCGCGGAAAATCCGATATAAAACGCCTCGAGAGAGAAAGGGACAAGAAGTTGTTTGTAAGGAAGACTCCCGGGAAAGAATCTGAGATCATTCTCTCGATTTCTCGCGATAAACGTCGGTAGAAGGCAAGCGCGTTCTGTGCGTAGAAGTTAGCAGGCGGTAATCAAGACTTATCGCGCCTGATCAATGTGGATCTTGTTTTTCCTCGTAAATTAGCGCGATGCTAGTCGCGGTTTATCGCACACGCGATAATGTGAAGTTGTGAACGTGAGATCAAATTTATTTGTTTTACTAACAGAATATATTAAGAATCTTCTTTTTCTAATGAAATATGTCTTTCCTTTTTGTTACAGGTAAGTCACTGATGATTTTGTATGAAATCGCGCGCAGCGATTATCTGCTTCTTGAAGGATGCGAATTCACATTCATTCGTCGTCTTAAGCGCCGCTTAAGAAGGCTGCTCGAAATTCAGGTAAACTCGCGATAATTACCTACACGACGATTTCACACGCGGTCGATATTATCTCATAATAAAACGACAGGTCCACAAAACCAAGAGAAAAAAGGTCACAGACAACCTTCGCCTTAAACGTTCAGATATCTCAAGGTTATCTCAGCGCCAAGAAATACCGTAAAGTTTCTCGACTGTTAGCAGAAGCGGCGACGTTCGAGAGAGACGATCGCTCTGAAATATTTACGAGCGATTTGCTCGCACGACGATCGCAGAGCCGGCCGCATATCCATGCGCAGTCTGGATCATTTCTCATTTAGCGAATGATCGCATTTGGCAGGAGCTCCGATCGCCAGGAGACGTGAGTAACGATTGAATTCCGAAAATAGACTTGGCCCGATTCGTTGCGACGCGAGCGATCGTCTCCCGCGCGGTTTCGTCGAGTTTTTTCCTGCCCGATATATACACAGGAAATTGCGCGGGAAATCGAGGAAAGATATCCTCGCGCGGATCTAGGCGAGAAATTTCTGAGCGCGACTTTGACAATTCCCCGTGAAATTCCATCTTGTACAATATCCCGCGCGATCTTGCGATTCCTGTGATTATCGATATTACGTGTGGAAATTTCTACACTTCTCTCATCTTTCGTGCGTGTGTCTAATAAGACGCACAGTCGGTTTTGACATTGACGTTACACGCGTTTAATATCGCATGCGTGACTGCGAGAATATAAATTATCAATTAACATAGCACGATTCGATGACAGTGATATATCTAAACTTTCATGCCGAAAGAAAGTTTCAATGCAATAAGTCACTACATGGCGTACACTATTCTTTAAATGTACTCCGCTGCCAGTTGGCAACGATTGCGTCGATGTTTCAACTCAGATGAGTTCTGATCACGCCAGCCGATGGTGCTCCATTTTTCAGAATGAGACAGGAAAGAGTCGATTCTACGAATAGAAACGTTTCAACTGAGTGTGAAGATAAGAGCGCGGGGGAAAAAGTTTGGTCGTATTAACGTGAAGTTGAGTTGTTACGAATGTTTTGGCTGAAACGGAATTTTTGATTTTTTTATGTTTAAGCGATCTGAAGCGTTCTTTTGTACAAATATCTTTTTATTTAAAGATAGCACGCAAGAATTTCCAGCGTGTCATTTCTCGCTTCTGACGTCATAATACAACATGGGCGCGGCGAATATCGTGAGGCCTTAAGTGGAAATTAATTAAGGTCGAAAGGAGAATCAAAATTTCAGTTCGAATAGAACCAAATTGGGTCATAAGAACCGGGAATTCTGTATTCTCCTAACAAAACGCGTTGGTGCGTTCATTAAAAACAAACTTTTCGCGTTAAGACAACGAAATATTTCTTTTCACTCAGGAGTATATTTATTTCAACTGATAATAAATTTTTTCTATACATCTGTGTCATATACATCTGCGTCAATTCCACGTTCAATGTCAAGCGCCGAATAATTTAAATGATCCCCGCCGGGACACGTCGTAAAATTAATCCTGTTGGGAAATTAATCGGATATTAATGTGCAACGCGTTCGGCCGATATGACGTAGCGGATATCGGCGATACGGACGTTCAGTTATTATCAAAGACGGGGTGAGAGGTGCGGCGAGCGAACGAGCGAACCGTTAATTGTCATTATCTTCGCTGAATTAGGAGTAATTAAGGTCGGAGTTGTACTGTTCGCGAAGTGATAGTTCATACAACATGCATTCCTCCGAAACGAATGTCTTCCTAAATTAGCACATCACGACCGCGTTTCTCCGCCTTGTCTCGCCGTTGACGCGCCTTGTTTGATTTTTCAAAGATTACGCGCGGACACAGTTTCGCATCGGCATACCCGCCATTTCATTAATATTCACAAATTAATAGCTTTTTTTCTTGCTACAGCTTCGATTCCTTTCGTCCGCAAATTACAGTTTGCTCCGTGATAACTGTTGATCGCGACAAAGCAACGAATAAGTACGTTAGTCTCTAATTTTTTCGATTTTTTACGAAACTCAGCGAATAAGTACGTCGGCCTCTAGTTTTTTCGGCTTTTCATGAAACTATGACACTTTCAATATTCCTGCGAAATAGTAAAAGGCGCGAATTGCGACACGAAAGCGGAGAGACTTCTATTTTTACTGCAAAATTGCGGTTAATCACATCATAGAGGGAGAAAGAAAGAGAGAGAGGGAGTAAAAAGAGGACAATTTGTCCGGCAGAAGGAGTACTCGTAGGTACCGTTAAAATGGCGTAGACCTTCCTTGCACGTATCATCCGCTACTGTCATGCTCGCTGGCTATTTGTACTTGTCGCATATAATTGGAGGCTTTTTCTACGCGTATTGTACGCGATATCTATTGCAGCCTTCAGGCCGGAGATTTAAGAGACATGCAATCCTTCCTCTCTCCTCGAACGTTAGACGATTGAATTGAACGATTAAGTGACCCCAAAACACTCTAGTCGAATGTTTTTCCGGAGCTTGTCAGAAATTTTGCCGCAACGCTCTATAACAAAGCGTTACTATCGCGTGATCATTTTTAATCGTACATGTGCATCTAGAAAACGCGGAAGCGCGTGACGAGTAATGCGTTTCTTTCGTTAACTTAGTCTACGTTTTAATTGCGGGATTTCTGTCTGCGGTAGCTGCGTCTATAATCGTTAACAGACGGCGGAACGTTAGAAAGCGTGTAAAAAATGTTCAATACGTATGACTTTTCTCTTTTTCTTTTTTTTTCGTATAATTGTTGCATTGAGCCCCCGCGGCCGAACGAGTTTCCGTTAAATCGCGAGAAAGCGAATTATTTTCCTAATCCGCTGTCCTCGATTTCTGCATTATCTCTCGCTCGAGCGTCCGGCGAGCATTCACGCTCTCCGGATCAAGCGGATTCGATATTATATGCACTCCGGATTTTTCTGCTATACAGACGCGACCAGGAAAATGCAATTCAGGATGTGACTCACGATGTGACATACGTGTGACGATGTTACTTTCACATGTATTCTTTCTCGTATTTCATAACGGAATCCTGTGTCGCCGTGGAAACATTCGCGCTCTTTACTAACATCGCGGACAACACTCTCCAGACCTCTCCACGTGCACGTGAGAAATCTCTGTCACGTGAAAAAAAGGGGGAATCGATGTCGATACTTGCGAGATCGTAAAATACGATACTCCACACCGTAAAATTAATAAATAAATACACGCCATAACGCACACGCGCAGAAAGGTCAACCGTTCTCATCATGCCGAGGTTAATTCGTACAGAAATCGTCGAACTCCATCGACGTGCACGCTTCGCTGTCGTGCGTGTCATTGACATTCCCACGACACCGTCGCCGTAAGTCGCCGGCGACTTTTCTCGCGACGAAGACGTCGCGTTGCGTACGCGGGCATGATCGAGCGGCACGCCGTATCATCGGGTCGCGCGACTGAAGATCGACTATGGATGCGTCGAGTCGCATGAGGGGAGATCAAGTACACATCGATTGCGCTCTCAGGTGCGAGCAGCCAGACGAAACGATCGGCCACGTCGACGCGAGGCCAAAGAAATCCGCTCGCCGGCAAAGGCCACGCGGTGTGCGAAAGCGTTGCGATTTATCGTTTAACCCTTTGAGCCATATAGTAGGACGCCAGCCTTCCACCTATCTTCTCTTCATTTTTGGTGATTTTAATCACCTTATCGGCAGACATAATCGACTGTACTATTTCTATACATTCTCTTATAAACGTGAGAATAAGTAAGAAATAATTTAAATGTTTAATTATTGAATATTAATTATAATTATTATAAGCGTATTATTATAAGCTAATGAAAGAGAAAAGGAGACATTTCTTTTCAGGCAAAAATTATTTTAGATCTAGCTGTTAGGAATCGATATCGAAGCATTGACAGTTTATTGAGAATCATTAATAGTATTTTGCACATTTTTTTATAATTTTCTGTAAGCTCTACTTTTTACAATAAATTGTTGAAATTTTGTTAATATATTTACTGCAAAATTTTTTGTCAAAAACATAAATATCTCTTTCATATCGAAGAAATGTTATTTCCGGAGATCGCCAATTTTGAAAATTTATGATCGTCATATTGGAGTCGCTATTTCGAATCTTAGCTTTCTAACCTCAAATTTGTAATTAGATTTTAGTAATCTCGAAATCCTGCATATATCAAATTTGAAGAAACTTCATCGAGAATTAAAATGTATGGCTCAAAGACTTAACCGACCTGTCATAGATTTTTCGTTTGGTTAGGGCAAGCGCGC